TATCTCGAAAATGGTAAGTTTTAAACACCATGTGCATTTAATAAACTCTACCTAACCAAGTTACATTCTAAAGTACACCCCTTATACATAATTATACCTAACAGTTGCAGAAAACCCGGAAACGAGCCACTTTAGAATTGCGCGGGCGACTTGATTAAACAGGAAACGACCAAACAAACAACTGCAAAACCCGCTCCGCAATCAATTTTCTTCAAATACTTCATATTTTACCAACCCGTCATCGCCTACTCGATCGCCCTCCCAAGCTAAAGGCTCCTCGGGTAGCAAATGCCCTCTACCGTCAGCAATGCCTCCTCATTTCCACCCACGTCTTCCGAACTAGCATCAATTATTCCCAGAAACTTATAATTTCGCCCCGCGAGATCGCTGAGTGCAATTTAGCGCCCCTAAATCGAGCTTTCATTACGGGATAATTCCGGCAGCACAATGCAACCGTACCCATCGAATGTAATTACGTCTTTTTAAGCGCCGGTACTTTATATACCTTGTAATTAAACCAACCAAGACGAGAGGAATGCATTAGCCGTACTTACCGACTGTTCAAGGACCTTGAATTAGAGCGGGTTTGTCGGAACGGGTTATCTTCTCTCCAGTTCTCCAACTAATCCTCCCTGAAACGAATGTAAATTTTGAATTAGAAATGCAGAAGGCCGATTCGATAGTGTTTATTATTTTGTTCTAAAAAACAAACGCTATTACTCTGTTTTCTCTTTTGCTTTGATCTTAAAATAAAATGGTCATCAATTTTCCAAAAAATAACTATCAGTGTATCGTGTTAATACGGTCAAAATAAAAACGTTTTATTCCTGCACTTTTTTCTCTAAAATTAGTCCGGTCAAATTAGTCATAAAAATAAAAGTCAAATAACGAAAATTCCGACAGAGCTAGATCTTGGTGGAGACGTTGGGTACACCATTAGAAATAAAGTGTCAAAAGTCCCCATCGATCCCATGTGTGCTAAAAAAGTTATTCGGGGCCAAAGGTCAAAATTTGAGGTTTTTTGCATTTTTTTCGAAAACGGTAAGTTTTATCAAAAAAGTTGTCCGGATGAAAATTATAGATCTTAAAATTATCTACAAAAATGGTGCTTGTATTTTTTTTCTAAGAATAACCATTCCTGAGATATCGCGATTCTAAAAGTTGAAGGAGTCACGTTCTACATGATATGCACATATGCCACGTATATACATAGTCAGGCACTTAATACAAGTAAAAACGCCTATTTGTGTCTCTTATATGAATAAACTATACTATTCTGAGAATATACACAAAAGAAACTCAGTCCCTTAGTCAATCCCCTCTACCCGCATGGCCTTGAATAACATCTGGCTACTCTATTGTAAAAACTTTTGTAATAAATAAACGAAACAAGAAACAAGTACAACTATCTTGTCTTCCTCCAACATCGGCTTCTGCTAATCAACACTTGTATCGAGTATACTATCAAGTTCAGATATGGCTAGGCAATCAACTGAACCCAGAAGACTGGGGTTGGAAATTAACAGATAATATTTTGAAACCTCCGGAAAAAGTCTAAACACTATTTTTTGCGATTGCATAAAAGGTTGTAGTGCTAAATGTGGCTGTAGAAGAGTAGGGTTACTGTGTTCTCCAGCGTGTACTAATTGCCAAAGCCAGTCTTGCTCAAATGTCCAATTGAATACAACAGACGAAGATTCATGAGCTGATTCATCTTCATTTGAACAATTTATGAACATCCAGCAAGAAGAAGAGGAAGAAGAAGAAGAAATCGAAGACGACATGACTATTGAAGTCGACTTTGAAGAGTATGAATCAGATTAAAATATCAAGAGAAATCAGAACTACAGTTAGTCAATAACCAATATCAATATCAATAATCATCATACAGTTAAAAGAGTATTGTCTCTGAAAATTCCGTCATAACAGTTCGTGGAGTAGGCCTACCGGGGAAACCACGTTAAAAAAACGCGCCAAAGTACACTACTTCATAGGTGGTGTGGAAATATGTATGTACCTACATATGTAGAACGTGAATCCTTCAACTATTAGAATCGCGATATCTCAGGAATGGTGATTCTTAGAAAAAAAGTAAGCCATTTTTGTAGATAATTTTAAGATCTATAATTTTTATCCGGGCTACTTTTTTGATAAAACTTACCGTTTTCGAAAAAAATCCAAAAAACCTCAAATTTTGACTTTTGACTCCGAATAACTTTTTTAACACACATGGGATCGATGGGGACTTTTGACACTTTATTTTTAATGGTGTACCCAAGGTCTCCACCAAAATTTAGCTCTGTCGGAATTTTCGTTATTTGAAATATCTATTTTGACCGGACTAAATGTCTCGTTATAGCCATTTTAAACCAATTTTGAGCATTATTGAAATGCCTAGGTATAGCTACGCGAGAATGCATTTTAGAGAAAAAAGTGCTAGAATAAAAAATTATTTTAACCCAAGTAATGCAAATAAATAGGAATATATCATGAGCCCTAAACGGGGGAAACCTTATTTGATTCTATTTTTTAATGAAAATTTTCCAAAGGGCAGTCTAGATATACTGTGGGATTTTTGGTTTAGGAGAAAGTGACAATATTTTAATTAACCAAAATTAAAACATGACATTTTTAAAAAATAAGTGGATATTTGGGTAAATCCTGATAATATAGAAAACATTATTTTTATGGACAAATTATCAAGAACTTTATTATGGGAAAAATCACCTCCATTTATAGAAATGAAAATTCAAAAATCCATTAAAGGAATAAGCAAAAATATTTTTAATTTCACATCAATATCTTCATGTTTTCGGAAGATCTTAAATATTATTAAACATTTCAAAAAAGTTCTTTGAAATTTAGACATTTCCTGATATTTCCCATACATTTCCAGATCTATACCTGATAATTCCAAGTTTTCCATATTTGTATACTTTACTTATTTCGGCTGCTATTTATATTTTTGGCCCAACTGTCTCGTTTTTCTCGGTTGTAAGCGTAAATTAAATTGGTTGACATCGGTATCAGCTTCAATCGACCGTGCATTTATTTCCGAATATGGCAAGAAAGCGTCCAAAAAATATAGAATTTGTATTCGTTTATTCCCTATTCAGAAATTTTAATAAACTGCACTTTGAAAACTGAGCTGTATAACTAAATGATCAACTAAAAATAAAGATATCTATTTCGTTGAATGGAATATAGCAACGTAAAAAAAGTGAATAGCATTCCGAGAAAATAGATAAAACGAATAATTTTATTGTCCGGCACCTCTAATAAAACTGTTTGGTCTAGGCCTAGTCGCCAAGATCATCCCGATACCAAAGCCTAAACATTTTTAGCCACAAAAAATTAAGATCAATACCGACTACTGACTACCGACGTTGGGGTAGGTCAGAACTGGAGCAGAATAAGCAAGTCTTTCATTCAATTTCAGTAGTAACATCTATTCGCAAAATAAAAATTATAGGATATACGACAAGAATTTATTGTAATTATTCAAAAAGTACAAATCTTGCTGCATCTTCTTTACTATTAATAGAAATTTTTTGGCAACCAATTATTGAAAAAACAAAAATATTACTAAATAAAGCTTTAGCCACACACAAAATACTGGTAGATTAAAAAACAAATACACTTACCTACGCAAATTTCTAAAGAGCTATCAAAAAACATTCCATTCTAACCTACAAACGATAGAACCAAATATTCAATATTTGCTTACCTATTTTCTCCAGTGAAGGTGAGCGCGTGTAGCACAGAATAACAATGAATATAAAAATAAATTGTATGGACAATGCACAGTCACTGGTATTTTATTTTAATCGCACCCACAACAAGGAATACCAAATAATCATTTACAAATAGCCCCCATTATATGGCGCCCGTAACTGGGCAACCAACCAAACGCTTGCGCTGTGCGTCAGGTGGCACTGCAATTTGTATTGTTTTATTCATTTGAGCAGTGGCGTAACGTTTAATTATTGCTGATTGCTATGCACATTAAATAGTAAAATATGCAGGTAAGAAAGTGGTATTAAGAAATAACACCTACAAGTTTCCCAATGGGAATACATTACAGCATTAGATATATTGAAAAAATAAGCTTCAATGAACATGAAATTGATTTTACTATACTACATGTAACATTTTTTAGTGAGTGTAGAAGTGTATGAATGATAAAAAATTAAAAACTAGTTAACCAGATGTGCCAAGACATTAAGGGGCATTCAATCAATTGTCGCAGGCGAACCGATTGATTTTCAGTCCTAAATATCATTCACTGAATTGTAAAAAACAATCCTTTGTACTTTACGCCTATGTCACGGACACTTTAAGGGGTTTATTTTAAAGTCCTGTGTTATTAATGAAGGAAGCAAAGGGGTGGATGAATAAGTAGTACGTTTCATGTTCTCCTAATCACGCACACAGACTAATGGCGCCACATATTATGTTTATCAATACATACTATGTACTTAATAGTGTTTAAGTACCTATCCTTTGTTCTGTATAAGGCAAGGTGATTGCAATTTTTTTTAAATATTTATAAACTCACCGATGTCGGTTATAGTTAATTACATTGTTGAGAAAAAATGTTATCATTAAAAGAACGTTTATGAATACAAACACGATCAAAGGTTGTTCACCTTGTTCACATCTTAATATCCACTACAAGTTTTATTGTTTTCTAAATACAACATTGGTAAGTTGTATTTTCCAAACAACTTTATGCATGAATTTTCGTTAATATTATAAGGCGATGGATAAGATTATGATTCCGCTTAAAGATAACAAAGCTAATCTAAATCTTACTCATTCTCCTTTTCCATTGAATTTTGTAATAATGATTCATATCGCTTTTAAAAGTGGCATATTTATTTTAAATCTTTCTTTATTAGTGTTGTGGTGCAATGCCTAGTAACAATTTGCAAGTAACGGTGTTTTTGTCCTTTATAAAAATTTTTTTAACATTTAAATTCATGTGTAAAAAACACCGCTCTTGATTGGTGGTCCCGAAAATCGAGCATGCGCGAACTGACCAATCAATAACGTGAGGCTCGCGAGTGGGTGAACTGTCAGTTCCAAGGTCGGCACATCGATTTTAGGTTAAGAGATGTCAAAAGTAAACTTAACTAGGCCAGTTTAGCGAAAATTAGTAAACAATGAATTCAAAAACGAAATGTAAGGTAAATTCGGACGGCAGTGTGTGTTTGCGCGATATCCTAAACTCGTTTAATTCTTCGGTGAAAGAAGAACATGCTTGGGCGTTATGTTATCAGTGCGCGAAATATTTCAATGACTGCCTTCAGACGGGAAAACAAAATTGTTGCATTATTACTGAGGTACAACATGTTTACTTGAAAACGGACGGGAACGTTCACGAGAATACTATTTCGGCGGGGGACGCCCCCAGAAGACTGCTTAGGAACGAAAAAGATGTGGTAGCTGGTATCGGTGTTATCATTTACACGGCTCTAGATCCGGATACGCAGAGCGGGGAGGAAAGGGTTATAAGTAATGATTTGGAACAGCTAATAAGTGACATGATCACGGATGAACTAACCAACAGTTCGGACCACAGCCATCACGAAACGGACGATGAAGGTATTGAGAGAGATTCCGAAGAAAGCGATGAGCCAAGTACCTCCAAGTGCAGCACTCAAATAAGTTTACAGGAGGTTATTAAGCGGTGCGAGAACCACCTGGGGACGTTAACAAAGACTCAAGCAGAAGCACATTACAAAGCCGTAGTCAGAGCGCTTGTAGCCGAAGCTCTAGAGTTATCCATGTTTCTAGAAAAAGTAGCACAAGGCAGCATAAGCCTGCCGACGAACAGCTCAATGTCGAATCTAGACCAGCTCCAGTTCTCGGACTGGGCGAAATTCTGGGTGCAGGTAATGGGTGAACTGCGAACCGGGGTCAAGCTGAAAAAAGTGAATTTCAGCAAGGCCCCGATAGAATACGAGCTCACACCTTACGAGATCCTCATGAAAGACATCAGGAACTGTAAATATAATTTACGAAAAATCATGGTTAACGGAGACGTTCCCTCCAGGGTTACCAAAGACGCCCATGCCATTATCCTCGAGTTCATAAGGTCGCGGCCCCCTTTGAGAAAGGTGAGTGATCGGAAGTTGGCCCCCCAACCACGCACACTGACTCCTAGGGAACAACTCCTCAATTCAATCAAGAAGGGTAGAAAACTAAGGCCTGTACCAGTTCCTCGGTAAGAAATATTATTATAAAAGCATGCCAAGAAATCTACTAATCGAATTTACTTAAAACACTTTGAAAAAACCTGAATAAATGTTGAATTTATAAATTGTTTTATTGAACTGTCTGTGTTAATTAGTAGCTTAGTAATTATAGAAATATCATTGCTAATATAATCTTGCATCTGGCGTTAAGTGTTCCATTACAGTAAACAGGTATTTGTTATGTAAAAACATGTGTAATTAATTACATGTGAGCTCATGAGTCCACAGTTTAGTTGCTTAATTATGCTGGACAAGTTCCAGTAATGTGTAATAGGAAAATAGAGCAAGTCATGTAGAGTTATGTGCTAATATCTTAGTTTTTCACTACCGTCTAATTTTAGTTATCACCTTGATAACATACAGATAATTTAGAATGTTTATAATATCTATACAACTACAAACAGTTTAATTTGCACTGTAGTTATTTAATATTTTGTATCAATATCAAAAGAGCAAATAATGTTATATAATTTTTAGAATTAAATTTGTTTTTTTCCCTGGCTTGAAAAAATTAATAGTTTTTTTACAATATTAAATGAAAAGAAAATTAAAGTTATATAAATATAATTACAGTAATGTCTCGATAATTGAATTTCGGTAATCGGATTCCTTGGTTATCGGGTACTTTTATATTTTTCAAAAATTTGCATTGCCACAATTTTAATTGATCTAGATCTGGGAAAAGGTTTTTATTTTAATTAATTTATTCAGAATTAGTTTCTTTCTAATTTTTAATATACAGAGCGTTGACTAAATCCATCGAAAAACTTTAAAAGAGGTGGTTCCCTAAGTGGTTTTAAGCCAAAAAGTTATGTAAACATGGCTTTACAAATCGATGTTAATTAAAAAACAAATTACCTCTGATGATGTTTGATACAGAATATTGAAACTTAGACCAATGATTTATTTAATTAAAGGTAAGATTTCACAGGTTTTGGAAATAAATACATGTACCAGTTGCCGAGATACCAGAAAGATATTTTTTATTTTATTTGAAAAATAAACCGTTTTTGATTTATAACTTTTTGTAATTTTCATCAATCAAACAGTCCATCATATGTAAAATAACTTTATAGAACTACCCGTTTCTCAGAAAATGTTCCTATGATTTTCTTGTTAAAAATACAATTAATCTCATGACAAATCTGTAAGGTGAAATTTTGACCCCTTGTATCTCAAATACTATCGATTTGCAGACCCATATTTATAACCTCTTTGGCTTAATTTCACCCCTTAAAGTTTGTCGACATACTTGTATTTCTATCGTTTTATTTGAATCGCATACTGACTAAATTAAAGTGAATGTGATTTCCTTTCGCTTAATTGTATAAATAATGATTAATTATTTTATAAGTATTTCCTAGTAAATTAACCATTTCCACTCTTTTTCCAGTACATCTAGACGGATAGATACGCCTAAATCATCCCCGAAAGACGCCACGACCCCCTCAAAACCCCCAGCTCGCAGGCTCATAAAGGTAGACTTCTCTCAGTTCGAAGACGAAGATGACGACGACGAACCAGACAGCACCCCCGAATCCGTAGAACCGGGCCTGTGGTCCAACGAATACCCCCAGATATGCGACAGCACCCTCGACGCGTACGACCTCGCAACGCAAGACTACACTCGGGCGACCATTAGAAGAAATACTCTAGACGTAGTCGACACTAACATCGGAAGCTATTCCGTACCCCAATCCCGCCCCTGTTCAAGACAATCGTGCAACAGCTCCGAGGCCGAATCGGTCCAGCTCGAACCCGACGTGGCGAAACAAATCCAAGATGAGCTCACCTGCACCCAGAACTGGCAAGACACCATATCGTTAGACGACAGACTGTCGCTCACTCTATCGGAAATCGTTCATATCCGTACGGTGCTTACAAAAGCTGAACTGGAGGCCCTCCCGGTAGAGGGCAGGGTGCGCCACGACGTCGAAGCTAGGAAGGTCTGTTTCCTATGTCTGAAGACGAGGTTCGGCATCTTCGGGCCCTGGGGCACCAGGTGCACCCTCTGCAAGCGCACAGTTTGCTCGAAATGCTGCTCCAAGATGAACATACCCATGGAACACTTCTCGAGCGTTCCCGTCGTCTTACTGAGCCCCAGTATAATGTGCACCCCGGAGGAAGAACCCAACGAGTCCATAGCCAAGTCTCTAGTCAATAAACTCACGGATTCCGAGGCCTCCGGGTCGATCTCCAAAGAAGCCAGTCCCGACTACAGCAGGCCGGGTTCCAGCATGGAGAGCAGCATCATTAGCGACCCCGGCTCCTTGGGAAAGTTCCGCACAAAGGCCGTGGTGGTGGGGAGGGCAGCCCGCGCGATGGACCGGTTCAAGGGGGCCCAAATGATGGTCTGCCACGATTGCAAGATGATGGTGTTGCAGATAATCAAGTCGGCCAGGGTTAATCGGTCTGCCATCCGTAACAAGACTATTCAGAGCCTCACACTCAACCTGTCGCCTGTATTTTAAGACGTGATAGCCCTCGTACGGGAACCTCGTAAAATTAAAGGGATTTAAACGTTTCATTACCTTCACACCAAAGAGTAGATAGCATCTTCACACCATAACTTTAACTCTTTCTTCCAGATAGACGGTTTTATATATTAAGTAATTTATATACGAGGTGATCGAGAGCTAATGGTTGGTCCCCGTTACAGGAAAACGGGAAGAGCAGATAGAAAACCACAAGAGAGGATCATTATTGCAAGTACATATTTGACTTAAAACTCCATCTTGGTAAGTTTACCGTTTTATGTAACGATATAATTTTTCCCAATTTCTCCCATATTTTTTCATATTCATTTTTGTGAATAGCTTTTATTAAAAATTGTTTTCGATATCTTATCCCGTTAAAGATATAAAATGATGAATATAGAGGAAAAACACCAAAAACCAAAAAATCGTAATATCTACTTTTTCACCGAGTGTTATTAATTTGTTTTTTTTTATTAAATGTTATACTAATAATTCTACCCCTCATCTTAATCACAGGGATTAGTCAGAGACTGGTGTGGGAGAGGGCACGGCATATTATTATTTGAACTAAATTATTTAAAATGTCAGCGATGAAAACAAATATTGAAAGCGTCTATTTTTCCCTAGCAATGCCGGGTGTGCCATTTAACACTCCCGCTGAAAATATCTCCGAAATGGACATTTATTTTAGTTCCAGAAACAGGGATTGTTAGGTCCCTCGAATAGCTTCAAATTGTAGTTAGAACTGTTAGTTCAAATTTTTCTGTTTAGATGGCGTGACAGTACTAACAAATTTTTTGATCCCTGGAATGTGGAAATGCAGTCCACTCACAGATCGTTAAATTTTGAGTAATTTTTGTAATATAAAGTTTTTCCCAATATTTACTTGTTTTCGAGACATGTCGATTATTATTTTATCTAAATCACACCGAGACAAAATATTCTTTTAAAATAATTTTATAATGACTATTCACACCACATACTATCTAACAAACAATAAATTATAAAAAAACAAATGATCAACTACAGAAAAAAATTGTATAATTGTAAATCTTATAACTAGTATAGTTAAATTGAAAGACACAAACTGATAAAAACTGTAATTATTGGAAAACTGATATGTGTCATCTGGCATAGATGTTTTTGTTTTATTTTAAACAAATGACATGAGCCACCTATGACTGCATTTTTTAATAACATTTGATAAAATACGGTTCGTCTCTGCCCCTTATAAGATTTACCATTGTACAAATTTTCTGTAGTTGATAATTCGTTTTTTTTATAATTTATTGTTTGTTTGTTAGTATGTGATGTGAATAAAGCCAGTATAACAATATTTTAAAAGAATATTTTGTGTCAGTTTGTTTTAAATAAAATAATAGATTTTCATGTTACATCATACATTGCATATTGAAGTCAACATGTCTCAAAAACAAATAAATATAGGGAAAAACTTTATATTACAAAACTTACTCAAAATTTAACGATCTTTCAGATGGACTGCATTTACACATTCCAGGGATCAAAAAATTTGTTAGTATCGCCACGCCATCTATACAGAAAGATTTGAACTAACAGTTCTAAGTACAATTTGATATTATTCAAGAGACCCAATTTCCGGGACTAAAATAAATTTCTTCATTTCGGAGATATTGGCATTGGAAGTATTAAATGGTACACCTTGTATACAGGGTGACCTCAAATTAAGTGCAAAAAATTTGGGTTCTCATACTACTCATAAAAATAATAGTAAACTTTCATAACACTTTTTCGAAAACTTGATATTAACCCTTTCGCTGCGGAGTACCTCTGAATGTAGCTACCGCGCCATGTGCGAAAGTTTACCGTCTACTACTTATACATATTTTTACATTGTGTTAAATTAAATTAAAATCTGTTTAAAGGTTTCAAAATGACTGCAATAGTTCAGTTATTAATATTTTATTATAAAGCATCCATCACTACGCTCTTTAATCTCAAGCTCGTGCTATCGGTTCTCGCTAAAATTTCTTCCAGTTCTTTGTCTGTCAATTTTCTAGATATTTTTACAATTTTATTTTAAATAAAAAACAATATATCGACAGCCGTATTAAATAGAAACTGAAAAAGAGATCAACAATCTTGGCATTATTACCAGTAAAATTAGTTGCCACAATCGCTATAAGCTCTGCCCGCAAAAATTCCGTATACCAATTGCAACAACCAAGTCACTAATGCGCATGATTGTGAATATGTACGGTTTGAGCAGCCTGATCCAATTTAACCATTCAAGCGAATTAATTAGTCTGGAGCAGTTTGAGGCCTACAAATTTTTAGCGAATAAATTCGTCTGGAGCAGTGAAAGGGTTAAAGAGGTCACATAACTTCAAACTTATTTAATTTTTTTTATTTAATAAATATTTTGCCATAACTCTTTTCGGTTAAGCAATTTCTTTCAATTATTGATAACAAACTGAATCTGTGAATGAAAAAACAAAATTTCGATGCCTTAAAGGGAAGTAGGTCAGAACTTTATTGCTTACGATTTTAGAAAACTTTAAACTGCTCGATATTAAAAATCATCGGAAAATATTACGAGAAGATCCTCTTGTTTCATGGCGATAACAGTAACGGTTTACGAGAAAAATTTCAAAACTTTGTGACTGAATGTTTTTCGTTCAATTTTGAAATCATTATCGGTAATTTTAAATTTCACAATTTTATAAAGTTAATAAGATAATTAGATAGATGTAGTGCTTAGTGAATAAAATATTCTTTTATATTTAATACTTTTTTTTAAACCGCAATAAAATAGTTCTTACCGATTTTGCGATCAATAAAGGACATTTTAAGTTTTTTATGGCTTTAAAATTTCAAAAGTGTGTAACAAATTTGGAATAAACCGCTTAATGGGCAAAAACATTATTAATTTTGTGGTTTTATAACTCCTTTAATATTAAGTTTTGTGAGTACAACCAGGCCTTAAATTTTTTGGACTTGATTTGCGATCATTTAATTTCTTTTGCATGCGAAAATATACCTAAAAACTTTATTAATAAGAGAAAAATTAAAACTTTCATATGATGCCAAAAAATATGTGTGAAATTGGGAAAAATAATTTTGATGACTCCACAGCCTTTAGAAATGTAATTTTAAGTCAAATACTTATGTTATAAGACCATCACTTGCCGTTTCTTGACTACTTTCTCCATTTTGTTGTTATGGTGGCCAACGATCAGTTCCGGGTTACCCTGTACAGTGTGTTCCACTTCAAGTAGCACCACCTTCATATTCTAGAAAACGCAATTTTCAATTTTTTTTTTTTTTTTTTCAGCATGGAGTACTTGATGGAATCTAATTCATTGTACTTAATTTTTGTTTCTACTCTTATTTCATAGCCTACTGTCAAAAAATTAGCGAATCATATTATACATTTTTTTCAAGCTATCGTAAGATTAAAAAATAGAGAATTTATTTAAAGAAAAAAGTAACGAGAAGACTAAACATTAAAAAACTTAAAAAAAAATAAAATCCCAATTTTTGGCAAAATATTTTGTTCAATATCCTCGGTACTTATTTATAAAAAAAGTTTTTTTTATTATAGCTTAGTATTAATGCAGATTGCCTATATTTGTAACTGACGATATTTTTTGTCTGTTCAAAAACTATCAAAATCTACTCGGTGCTGAAAGTGGAACAAACTGTATGTGTATGGAAAGGCAAATCCGCGCTCAAAATGGCTTGAGACATAGTCATTTAAAAGTGTATTCTTGCTTTTACAACTGTATAACTGTTTATTTGGGTATTATTCAGTTTTATAAAATAATTTTAAAAAATGGAATATTGAATTATAGCAGCGATATATTGGGAATATTTTTAAATTCGCAGTATTTAAAAAACGATTAAACTAAGGGAGAGATGATCAAAAGAAAAAGGGTGTTTTAGATAGAAGTCTAGTCACAAAATTAAAGTATAATTAATATATTACTGTGTTTAACCCACTGATATCTATTATTCCTTAATTTCAAAGTACTCTTCTTGTAACAAGGAAAATGAACCAAAAATACTCCTCATTTAATAAAACGTTATCTGAGATTAGTCCTGTATATTTTAATTTAACGGCACATTTGGTGATATTATACGTAGTATTATTGTAAGTATTTTAAGATAAGTATTAATTTATTTAAATTTGCCTTTCCATGTCAAATCGCTGTGCTTATTTTGAAGCACGAAATAGCCCTTATATTAAATAGAAAAATGTAGAAGAATGGAGGACTTTACGGTTTTTAACTTAAGTAATCTTAATTTATCTTTATTTTTTTTGTAGGTAATGTGATTTTATTTATTTCGCTATTGCTTTTAAATATTTTTTTATGTTTATATGTACTCAAACATTCAACCTTACCGATTAATCTTTGTGCTCTTTCTCCTGTTTAACAGAGGCATCTTCAGGTGCGGCCTTTTGGCACCGATACTCGAGGATATTATACAGGGTGTTCCGATTTATAGGTATACAGGGTGGTCCGCCATAATTGTCGCATTTATTTACTTAGAAACAAATGCAAGAATAAAAGTTGTAGGAAACATTTTTGAATTTCTAAAACCCAGTTAAAAATACAATTGAGCTTAGAATTTCAGAGATTTAGGCCTAACGTGTTTCTTTTTTAATAGAACACGCTGTATATGTGGATAGAACGTTTTATTACGATCAAGTGATATAAGGTTTGGTTGATCTATTTCTAATAATAAATGAGATATGGCCAAAAGATTTTCAACTGAAAAAACTTTGAATTTCAAATCTCGGTCTAGCAAATCTAACAAATTATGGTTATGGTAAATTTTTTTGGCGTTCCTATACATTTTATGCAAATATGTGTAATATACAGGATGTTTCTTTTAAGAGAACCCTATTAGGACTGTATTTCTGTACGCCAATGCTCAATTGTTTTCCCAACATAGAACCTAAGAGATTTAAAAAGTTTCCTATAACTTTTACCTTTACATTTTTTTCCTACATCAAAACTAACGAAGAAAAACGGTGTGACACTTTTGGCATGCTACCATTAACACGGCAAGTTAAAAACAAGCAGTTAAATACTTTTTAATAAATAAAAATTAAAAATGCGCATATTTGGAAACTACGACATCAAAATTGTAACTTCTAAGTCTGCTACAATGTTTTTAAGTGCGGATTTTTTCAGAAATTATATAGTAGCAATTTTTTTATCAGAAATCTGCTGATGCTATATTGTTCTACATCCCTCTAAAAGTCTTTAAGTATAGAAATGTTTATGAATCTATTTTCAATCATTTTAATTATTTTAATTTTTTATTCATTTAATTTTCTTGTTTTTTTCTGAATCAAAAATATGCATGTAAAAGAATCACATCAGGCTTAGGATTTGCTTGCAATTTTTAAAAAATTATAGTTTGCACATTCTCTTGCACACATAAATTGGAACACTCTGCACATGTCTTTTTTCCTGATATATTTGCAATTTGCAACATATTAATTTTAATATCGCGAAATGTCGGTAAAGTCCTTCATTTGTTAAATTAAAATTGAAATGTTCGTATTTCAATACTCAGAATCGATTAACTGAAATTTGTTTATTCTCTTTAATTTTAGACATTCCTTTAAACATTTAATCAAAGTTCAGTAGTGATATTAGTTTTTAAAGGAAACCGATCTTTGCCGATCCTAGATATTCTTTCTTATTCCGTGTATATTTATGAATTCAATTTGTATATGTGTGTGTACGTTTTATATTATAATTTTAATGATGTTAAATGTAATAGATTATATTTGAAATAATATATAGGAATATTTTATTTTGATAACTGTAATTTTATGTAAATCCTCTGAAACTTGAAAACCTATGAATATCAAAAATAAAGGCTATGTTAATTGTTTATTCACTTGCTTGATTCCAGTCTACAAATTCTGCTTTGATGGTTTTTATGTAAAAACGATATATTAGTTGTCTAAAAAAAATAACAACGATCGTTTTAGACGTTTGATACATTGAAGTAAAATTCATTTTCCCGCACCTCTTTTTGTATAAGTGAAACATGTGTTAAGATATTTAATAATTTTTCATATCTCTAGTTTCGCATAGAATTATCTTTTTTTCTTTTAAATCCGGTAATCTATTTCTGTCAGTTTACATTGCATTATTAGTTCAGTTGGTATCTGTTACGGGATGGATGTTTTATGTAGTAACGCCAATTTTTGTTAGGAATAGTTTTAAATATGTAGAATAATAATTGTGATATGCGCTCGCTGAAAAAGTTTAACATAATTGTTAGCGCAAGAAAACGTAAAATTCGGGCTCCCAATACATACCCTTTGGAGTCTCAACTATCAACCCCATTTAAGAATTTTCGATTTTATCCATTTTAGCAACAATTAGAATTTTTTCAAAATATATTCTAAAAATACTTATAAATATTTAGAGCTGGAGCTACCATATTTGCATATTTTTCAAATGTAATTATAAGATCAAATACAGGAAGGATTGACGAACAAAATCCACTGTTGATCTTGTGGATACGATGAATTGTCAAGATATAAAAGCTCAAACTGTTTATATGTGTATGTATATGTATATGAGAGATGGGCACCCATTTTTGGGAAAAGTGTGTTACGGACATGTCGATGAAATGTCTGGACATGTCGGGAAAAGTACTTTTGACCTTGAATCTAATAAGGCACCTATGAGTGACATCATGTTTAGCAAAATATTACTTTTATTCGGTAATTATTTACTTTAGTGGCACCACCTCCAACTTTCACGAAATTTTGTCTACCCCCCTATTTTCGATGGTGCTGAACACGAATCTGCAGGTTCTTTTGTGCGGTCGAACCTAGTTTTTGAGAAAAAAAATTTTCAAAATTCTAACCTGGATATTTCATATAACACTACGTAGGTAGAACTCTGTATATTTTATGTAGCTTTCAAGAACATCTGTTATGAACAATTAACACTGTTCACGAAACACATTTTCGTAAATTTCAAGTAAAAAGATATGTATTTAATAAATAAAAATTTTGTAGTTTGAATCCGCCATTTGTAATTCGTGATGACAACATTGAGTTCCCCCACTCTCATTCAACTCTGTTCATCCCACATAAAGTTACTATAATTTTATTTATTAAATACATATTTTTTTTAGTTCAAATTTGGGAAAATGTGTTTCTTAAACAATGTTCATTGTTTATTACAGATGTTCTGAAAGCTACATAAAATATACAGAGTTCTACGTAGTGTTATCTGAAATATTCAGGTTAGAATTTTGAAAAATTTTTTTCTCAAAAACTGGGTTCGACCGCACAAAAAAAACTTCAGATTCGTGTTCAGCACCATCGAAAATAGGGGGGTAGACAAAATTTTGTGAAAATTGGAGGTGGTGCCACTAAAGTAAATAATTACCAATATTAAATTAATAATCAACTGATTACTATTTACTAATCGTTAACTTTGCCAAAAATAATAAAATATGGACATAACATAAAAGAGGTTATATTTTTAAAATATCAGTTTCAGTTAAACAATTACCAACAACATTACAAGAAAATGGCTAAATATTTTTAATTTTACATGTACCAACCTCAAAAATTTTTTGCGGGAATTATGAATGCAACAAATAATACCGCGCATGCGTATACAACTTTTCAGTCTTGGAAGTGTTCTCAGGACGTCCACTTTTCACGACATGTCCAGCTGACCTGTCCGCGGCATATCTCTAGTATATGTATATTTAATGTATTTAAAATAAGTTATTAATGGACTTCATATGAACCGTATTTGATCATTTGTCAACGAAAACATGTAGTTTTTGAAAAAAGAGGCTTCTTGTATTTTGTTTTAAATTTGAAAATTAAAATGTTCTTTATTTTGCACATAAATTTAAATTGAAAGAAAGATATTTTCGAATCGACATTGTAAAATTCAAATAGATCCTGCTTTCCTCTACCGATTAAAAAAAAATATAAATCACTTATTTATCTGTTGTAGAAGCTGAGAAAAAGTCGATTGAAGTTGCGCAAATCAATTATACTGTTTCGTTCGCATAGACCCCCACTCCTCACTCTTTGACTCTGCTCGATTGCTGTGAAATGTATCAATCTTTTTCGCATCAGAATAGTTAAAATACATTTCCGATTTAAACAAATTTTCATAGTTATGGTCTTTGTGTCATACTATCAAAATCACTTTTGATTGTTGGTTTGCCATAAACTCACCTCAACTTTGAGCTTTCATATCTCGATGACGATTCATCGTATCCACAAGATCAAAAGTGGATATTGTTTTCAATCCTTCTTCTATTTGATCCTATAATTACATTTGAAGAATATGCAAATACGGCAGCTCCAGCTCTAAATTTTTTCGAAGAAATTTTGAAAAAATTCTAATTGTTGCTAAAATGGATCGAAAATTTTTATTTGGGGATTGATAGTTGAGACTCCAAAGATGTATCGGGATCTCGAAATAATCATTGATTTTACCGTGAGCGAGAATTGAAAAATAAGTATAATTCCGTATTTTCCTAATTAACAATCGAATTGTGTGAAATATACCCTGTCGATTTCGATGAAAAAATTTCTTCCATACTACGATATCATGAAGTACTCAGAACCATACTTTTTATATGGCTGCTCTAAAGTCAAAATCCGAATTAAATTCATGAAAAAACTATTTTTTTTTCGGTCTATACTGTATTGCAGCAACAATAATGCACATAAAAATTTCAACCCACTTTTATTTTGAAGAGAATCTCAAGACGAAACTTTTTTTCCTTTGACTATTTTCTCTAATGTCAATATTTTCCTAGTTGTACCTGAAAGAAAAGAGAAAAATGCACCTTTTTTAACTTTTTTTCACATTTTATGTCGCAATTATCATTCTACATAATATTTAGAACTATTTCCAACAAAAATTTGCGTTACTATATGAAACATCCATACAACCTACTTTTAAAACGAACTGGAGTATATGCAGGTAACGGTACAAATGATAGCTTTGGAGTAAAGGCCAAGTCTATATTTACACCAAAAAATAAACAAAATTGTTTAATATTGATCAATACGTCAGGCACCACTGAACTTAAAAATTAAGTTGTATAATAAAATTACCCAGTATGGCAGCTGTAAGATTCAATTTTATGAATTCAGTGAACCACATTGCACAACACGAACACTTCAGCCCTGCATACATCAAAGGCTTATTTACACACAGAAATGTCAAACTAGTAATAACTCACAATTAGTACGATTTGAATTGGCTTATGCATACCAGATATTAGAAAAATATGATCTATGGTTTAGTAGAAAAATCTCAATATTGGTTTATTGGATTCATCAAAAATAAGATTAACATTTGGCATTAAAATGCAAAGACAGTTACGTTATTTTTTTATCCATAGTTTCGTCTAGTTATCGATTTCCTTTTTCTACAAAAATAATCAAAATAGTTCATAATTGGCCAAATACATTGGACTATTACACACTGACCTTAAAAATTAGGTCATGTAATAAAAATACCCAGTACAGCAGCTGTAAGAGTAAATTTTTTTATGCATTCAACTTTTAACGTGTCTTTCATACTAGCATCAACTGCAACCTAACAAAATCGTTTTACAATCACTTTTTACTACTGCTCCATCACAGCATAAATCAGGAAAACCTTACCTCATCACCCTGTTTATGCACTGAAGTGTCAAATTCTAGTAATTTATTTTTAAAGAAATCCTCGAGGTGAAAAATAAGGACCAAGATTCAACAATCGCAAATAAAACGCTTTATTATAGGAAAATTAGTTTTAATTTCACAGATATATAAACATTCTTCATTCAATAGCTAGAACTGTACAGGCTGAAAAAAAAAAGTTGGAACAATATAATTTTGTAAAATTTAAAAACCTATGCGCGATCACTTGAGGAATCTCATCTTAATAAAAATAGTTATGGAGTATAAATTAAATAACAAAAATAGGCAATAATTTAAAATTACACTAAAACTTTTCCTCGTCAAGGCCGTGTTTGAAAAACATCATCACGGGAACGGATTCCCCATCGATATCCCTATATTCCATCAGTCCGACCATGCCGTCGATGTCCATGGACTCGCCGGTGAAAAATTGCAACTCCTTAAACCTACCCAGAATGTCTTTCATTACTTTATTCATATTCGTTTTGAAGATGTTTACTTGGTCCGGAGATTTCTCTTCCAATTTTGCTACTAATCTGGAACAAATTTTCCCCAATCAGCCCCTCTAAATTTTCGTGCAAGTTAATTCAGTTTCGTGCATTTTGATTTACTTTAGTGTAGGGGATTGTCGAAATGTATATCAATTTTTAGAAAATTTGTTAAAATCTACAAAATTTACTGCACTTTGAAAGAGCAGCAAGGCAGAACCGTAGATTTTGGTAATATTGCATGCTTTGCTCTGAATAACACACATAAAAGCGTTATTCAGTATTAGAACACGCTTATAATCAGGGTCAAACCAAATTTTCACAAAAAAATTTCCCGATATTTCCAAATTTTCCAGGTAGATGGCGAATCACGATATGCATTCGATCACATTTTGCAATTTATCTCGAAAACAATACATTTTATGAAAGAAACATCAAGGGACAAAAAAGTTTATAAATTCAATGGCTTTCTAGCGGACTAATAATTTTTAAGAAATTCAAATATGCGACCAAATTTTTTTTGTTCTAAAGACAAACACACAAACAAATAACCTTGAGGGGATTCCTCACCAAAAAGATTCCACTATCCATTGAACTATCAGATTCCATAAAACTCCTGTATATCAAATTTAGTGATTCCCGTACAACAGGGTTCTGAGATATGAAAAAAGACTATTCTTAGGGGCAGATTTCAGAGAGCCGCAACTCCAAAAGAGGGGGCATCTGGGCAAAAATAAAAAATAAGGGTCCCCTAAATTTGTGTTAAGAATCGAGACAGTCGATAGTCAATATCTTAGTTATTTATTTATGAAAACTCCATAAATTATACACAGTTGTAAAGAGGTTATCCCTTTTTTTGTAATCAGGCACAAATTCAACGCATTTTTAGAAATACATTAATACTGACAGCAAAAATCGATTCATCTCATCATTTTATATCAGACTACACATTTTTGTCCTAAAATTTTGAAAAGCAAATGAAATACGACTAAAAATAGAAATAGCATAAAATCTGTTTCCTTCGAATATCTTCGGAACTATTTACCTTCTAAATTTAAAAATGAATCCGTGATCGGCATTAATAGAGAATTGGAATGTTAATAGAATTTAGTAATGCCCAGTAGCAGCATCACGCAAATAATGACTAATTACATCTGAAATTTAAAAAAATTCCTGGAAAATTCGAGAAATTCCCTGATATTTCCCCAAAGTTTCAATTCTATGAAATTCTCACATAATTCTAGGTTTCCCAGATTGGTACACGCCCTGTATAATATACTATTCCCAATATTTACACGTTTTATGAACTATATAGTAACTCACAATGGTTTTTTCAAAATCAAATGCGACACATAAAAAAGTACAATTGCCTACGGTTAAATATACCAAACTATTGAAGGGTTGCAAGAATACTGCTTTATCCCTTAAATATATCCAAAACTGTATCAATTCAGTAAATTAGTATATTTTAAAATGTTCATTAAATAGAAATTCTTTCGACACCATATCTTAAGGTCAATGACCTGTATACCTAAATTTATCAATAACCCTAGTAAGGACATCAATTTATTGATTATGAAACTATGCAATTTAATTCAGCAAGCAAAATCATATTTTCTGCAGAATGTACTTCTCTCTTAATCACAATTCTACAACTGTTATTCTTTTTTTGTCTAAATGAGTTTTTTATAGATATTTTAACCATTAATAAGAAAATACGATCTAATAAACAACAAATTGGAAAATTTCCAACAGTGCAAATGCAACACAAACACAAATTTATTTTTACTAAATCCTGCCTTGGCAGTTCCGGAAAAACACGCTCACAAATGCAGTGGTTATATATGATATCCAGTATTGTACTTACTTCTTCATGTAGTCCTTAAGGTAAGCGGTGTAAGACTTCTTGTCGCCAAAGGCGTAGGTTTCACACAATCTGTGATTTAAAACTATATCAACGCCTGATTCAACGGCAGCATCGGTGCCCTCATCAGCTTCTTCTGCCGAGGGATTAGATCCTTCTAATAGGATATCTCCATGTTTACGCTGGACTAGTTTTCCATAAACCTCATACAAGACTTCATCTACTAGTTTCATCTTATAACTGTCTGAGAACATTTCATCACCTAAAACAAATAATTTTAATAAAAGGCAATAACATGTATATAGTTTTAATAACATGTACATAGTTTTATGTAGAGAAATTGTGTTTAAAGTAAAACTGGTACAACTTTACTTAAACTTCTGCTAAAGGAAAAAATACTAGAGCAAATTGCAACTAGTCGATGACATTTAAGATGACAGATGGAACACAAATGATTAAATTATTTAATAATCAGTTAGTGAAGAACAAAAATATCTAGCCAGCAATGAAGCTGAAAATACTTTAAATAAAACTCACCGGTGAAGATGTCCTTATAGATCCTCATTTTGTAGGATTATTTAGATTTTCGTCGAACCACAAAAATGTCGACCTCAGCCTTACGAGAGCACCGGAAAAAGGTCGGCGAGTAATTTTGACTTTTGACAGTACTCAGAAAGTGCATTTAAAAGAGACAGAAAATGCGTGCGCATAATTTTTGAACAGTGTTCCTAATTTTTTTTCTGACAGTTGCCTTCAAAGAATTATAAGAAATAATACATTCTTTATTCATTTCATATATTTGTTGTGAATTAATGATTTATAAGTTCTAAAATTATTTAAATAAACGTTATCCATCTCTTTTGCAAATGCCATATTTATATTTATGACGATTGACGACGAACGACGACCTCTGTGATCATTTGTTATCAACATCAACAATGATTTAGAACAAGGGTCGGCAACTGGCGGACCGCGGTCCAGGTCCGGACCGCGGAAGGTAAAATACTGAACCGCCAAAAATTTTTCTAATGTATAAATTGCTCAAATAAATTATTTAAAAAATGTTTTTTACGTGTAAGTGCCAATCTTATCATTTTTTCTAGTATTTTACAATTGTGTGTGTTTTGAGTTCTTAATGGTTAGTAAGCAGATTAAATTTGAGTCCAAATTAAAATAAAAAATAAGAAATGTGGATTTTTTTCTGGACCTCGTTAAAAATTTTCAAAAGTATCCGGACCCCGCCTAAAATTACTTGCCCACCCCTGATTTAGAAGGTTTAATCTTTTAGGCAGTTTTTTGCGATCAGCATTAATTTTGGTCACTACCAACGAAATTTGACCCTCCGTATTAGTCACTGATAATAGTAATAATTAATTTCGATAATCAATATATACATGACTCATTAACAAACAGCACAGATAATCCAGATGAAAACAATTACTACCATGGTGAGAAGTTTATTGTAAACGTGTGCAAAAAGAATTGTTATTGTATTAGCAACCATGGTTCTATATTCTATATTTGATTTGTATTGTATTGTGATTTTATGATTTATCCTAATAGATAACTTCATCCTTCAGCAGATGTAAAACCTTAAAATGACGTCATTAATTATACCGTTTAAATGGTTACATGCAAGATTGTTAAAGGCCTGCCTACATTGCGAAAATTGGTGAAGTTCCAATAAAGTTTGTCAACTGTCAAAAAGTAAATAAAAGATGCTTCAAACTCAATGTGATTGGTTGTTATCCATTTCGAANCATGCTAAACAAACGTGAGTCGTGAATTTCAGTGTGGAAAAGTTAGTAAAAAATTTAAAGACACTAGATTTTACATAGTGAAAAAACTTGTAACAAACGTAACAAACTTAAAGTTACTTCCTTTTCCTCACCCCGTTCTTCGTGTGTCTGGACAAGCTCCATCCCCTCCCTGTTGCGAATCTGGCAATGCTAGTTGCACAGCCATGAGTGTTCCTAGCTTTTTTTCTGACAGTTGCCTTCAAACAATTATAAGAAATAATACATTCTTTATTCATTTCATATATTTGTTGTGAATTAATGATTTATAAGTTCTAAAATTATTTAAATAAACGTTATCCATCTCTTTTGCAAATCCCATATTTATATTTATGACGATTGACGACGAACGACGACCTCTGTGATCATTTGTTATCAACATCAACAATGCTTTGCAAGGTTTAATTTTTTAGGCAGTTTTTTGCGATCAGCATTAATTTTGGTCATTACCAACGAAATTTGACCCTTCGTATTAGTCACTAATAATAGTAATAATTAATTTCGATAATCAATATATACATGACTCAAGTTAATATTACAAGATGACAATTAAAAGAAATTATGAAATTGTTTATAATGTAATAAATTTACCCAAAACATAAATTTCCAAGTTTAATTACAGTATAATATAAATTAATAAGAACATACACTCTTTTATAAATGGATTTTATGGGCATAAAGAATAAATTATCCATATTGAAAAGGAGTAAATTCTTAACAGCTCTACGAATCTATGAGTGCAGCGGGTTAGATTACAATAGAAAAATTATTTCTTCGCATGTATTCATATAAAATAATATATAGTTATCACTTTGTTTTAAACAAAAATGAATATTACTTTTCTGTAGCAGATAATGCAATAGTTGTTAGATATATTTATACAGAATTCATTAACAACAAAAAGCACAAATTATCTAGATGAAAACAATTACTACCATGGGTAGTAATTGGGAAGTTTATTGTAAACTTGTGCAGAAAGAATTGTTGTACATTGTGAAAATTGGTGAAGTTCCAATAAAGTTTGTCAACTGTCAAAAAGTAAATAAAAGATGCTTCAAACTCAATGTGATTGGTTGTTATCTATTTCGAAAACCAATCAGAACAACTTATTGGTGGACATTTTTATAGTACGCAGCGCGGTTGTACCGATTTGCAGGGCAAAAGCAGTGTGCAACATAAATAATACCAAAGTAACCAAACCAAAATTCGTTTTGTCGGCGTTGTTGTATCACCACGTGTGAATCAGTTCTTGAAATAATAATAAACAGTGAAAATGGCTAGTGATTTGGAAAAGAAAATCATTCGTCAAATTGAGTACTACTTTGGCGACATAAATTTGCCGAGAGACAAATTTCTTCAAGAAAAGATAAAAGAGGACGAGGGATGGGTTACACTGGAAGTCCTCCTAACTTTCAAGAGACTTGCCGCTTTATCCTCAGACCCAGAAGTAATTGCCAAAGCCGTGGAGAAATCTGAAAATAAGCTTGTAGAGGTTAGTGAAGACCAAAAAAAACTCAGACGTAACCCAGAAAAACCTCTCCCAGAGCTAGATGATGACCGCCGCAAAGAACTTATGGCAAGAACTGGTATGTATTATATGACATTGTAAAGAGTTGACGACTTACAGATGTATTTTTTTAGCCTACGCTAAGGGTTTCCCACTAGATGAGGAATTGAACGACATTCTAAGTTTCTTGGAAGCTTACGGCCCTATAGAATCGTGCATACGTCGTTCGACAAAGGACCACAAATTTAAGGGGTCATGTTTTATAATATTCAAAGAAATGGAGAAGTGTAAGAGTTTCATTGAAAAAGAAAGCTTGAAGTATAAGGACACCGAATTAATAAGGAAATGGCAGAATGACTACTTCGAAGAAAAGAAAAAGGAGATAGAGGAACGAAAGAAGAACAAAAAGGAGAAGAAAGGAAACGCAGAGGATAAGCCAGAAAAGCAGCTGGAGTTCCCTAAAGGGGCAGTGATACACTTCAAAGGCTTGGAGGAAGGGCAGACTTTAACAAGGGAAGAATTGAAAGAGAAGGTGAAGGAGGTAGGAGGAGTGGATCTCGCCTTTGTAGATTTCAACAAAGGCGATTTGGAGGGGTACGCGCGGTTTCCCGAAGAAAACAACGCCGTCGAGTTTATGAAGAAGTTGACGGACGGAGAGTTGGAGGTGGAAACGTTCAAATTGAACCTGCGCTTGTTGGAAGGTGAGGAAGAAGAGGCATACTTGAAGAAAACTTCCGATACGGTGATGGAATTGAGAAAGAAACAGAAACAATCTAGTAGGAATAATAGAAAACGTAAAGGGAACTTTGGAGGTCATGGTAGAGAAGCGAAGTCAAAGAAAAATGAATAGTTTTAGTTTTTAAGTTTTCAGATGTTTTCTTGTATGTTTTATTTTTTATTGACTGTAACTGAAAGTATGACCATTCTCTTGTTAAGTTTTTGTATGATTTCTAATTTGATCCTGAATTTAGGATAAGTTAGTGGAAAAATATATCGATGTAAATATATTTTATTGTATTGCACTCTAAATATATATTTGTAACGATAAATGCATAAACTATTAACATACTTTGACAAAGTTGGTATGTTATATCAAATGTAAGAGTTAAGAAAACAATAAAGTGGTTAAAATATTGTGTATTCAATTTATAGAACTACAAAAATATATTTTAGAATAACAGGCTAAACTTTCGCAACATCTTGTAAATCAATAGTTAGGCAACCAACTATTACTTGAATGTATAATTGTGATTGTGAAACAATATAAAGATTAAGTTACGCAATTGTCTATACACATCTGTGAAATGTTGGTTGCATAAATCTACGCAAATACGTGTCCAATTTAAAATACATAATAGCTGTTTTACATTGACAATGTATTGATCAATTAATTCATGAAGTCGCTTCATCAAGAAATTAGACAAGTGTAATGCTCCAAATCTGCTATCAAATAACTTCATGAATTTATTCATCAAGTTCTTGACGAATTAGAGCATGTTCTAATTTTCGTCAATTTCTTCGTGAAGTTTGGAAGTACCAACCCAACAGATTTCCAGCCTCAGATCAGTAATGAGGTTATGTTATTGGAATATGTAAATAATTGTGTGGCGTCGTGCTAGTTTTGCATTGTTTTTACTGATTTGTTACAAACACTAATATCTATATAATATGTGTCAAAACGGTACCGTTGTTGTATGACTATAATTACGAGTGGAAAGATGACATGTTTGAAATTTATTTGCTTCTTAGATTCGTTGGTAGAACTGATTCATGGGTCAAAAAACTTGACAAAGTCTGTAGCAGTGTAAAACCACACTGTTTACCAATAAATTCGGGAATTAATTCATGAAGAACTTCGTCAATTTATTCCTGAATAAATTGTCAATGTAAAACAGGTTTGTTTAATTCATGGTTATTTATAATATATAAATGTAAATATAATAAAGAATAGAATTAAAACATTTTTGCGTTTTAAAATTACAGTGTATCTTTGTCTTCATTATAAATAAACTATTAGGCAACGAACAATTAGCTAAAAGTGTAATTTTGATTTCCAAGTAATATGATGAGCATTTATGCAATTACCTATACACATCCCTGATATGTCGGTTGCATAGTTCTCTGAAAATGATTTAAATGTGAAATATAAAATTTGTAACAGATGAATGCATATCCCTGTTAATAATTTAAACATTACTTAGACTAGTACAACAAAATTTAGACATACTTGTTAAACATACAATATACAATACTTTTTCAAAAGTGAATATTCTTTTTTCAATCCACAGTTTATTAAAACTGCATAAACACTTTTTCCAAAAAGTAAGGAAAAGTTGCATTTCATTTTATATAATATGGTTCTAAGTATGTAGGTTCCTGGTATAGATGGGTTGTTCACGCTTTGTTTACATAGTCCTTACGAACCAGACTATAAATAAAGCCTAAATACATATTAGAGCTATTGCCTTGTATCTATGCAATTGTTTATACCCGTCCGTATAATGTTGGTTGCATAAATATTCGAAATAAAATTCTTGAAATTAAAATTTTTAACAGTTGAATATAATTTTATATANGCAAAGGGTTGTTTGTTTGTCGTTGTTACGTTTCCGAGATCGAAAGGGAATGTTTCGAGTAATGTTTCAAACTCTCTTCAATTGGAATGTTTCGGCTATGTTTCACTAAGTAAGTTTTCAAGTGCTACATTTCTGTAATGAAACAGCAACGTTTCTAGTTATTGTTTCAAATGTGTAGTAAAACAGCTCATTTGCAACGTTTCATTTACGTTTCGTGTTTAGAGGGACGTAATGTAAATTTATTTCTTCTAAAGCATTATTTAAAAAAGTAGGAGCAATGTATGTAAAGGATTCCTAGCATTTTGTCTTTTTTTTAATTACAGAAATATTACCCACATCACGATTTATTAAATTCAATTACTTCAGTAAAGGTACATGCTGAAAAAGATTTGTACAATTGTATTAATTTGCTGACATATGTAACCTTCCTTTCCATATTTCGCTGCATTTGATAAATTAAATATAAAGAGAAAATAAAATTTGTCCTAAGATGCTACTTTGTGGTACACCACTTTTTATTGGCATTAATCGTGATCTGAATAAATGATTTATTTTCATTCCTTTGCAATTGATCGAGCAAATAATTATGAAACCACAAAAAGCACCGTGGTGAATACTTTGCATTTCGTAATACAAAATTTAAATATTAGACGAAAGCAACAACATTTAGAGAAATACTATATCACTTTTTCAAAAGTGGATGTTTTTTTACTTAGCTTTTTATGAAAATATATATTTTATTTACATTTAAAAATAAAGTCTAAATACATATTAGAGCTATTGCCTTGTATCTATGCAATTGTTTATACCCATCCGTATAATGTTGGTTGCATAAATATTCGAAATAAAATTCATGAAATTAAAATTTTTAACAGTTGAATATAATTTTATATAAATAATAATTTAAATAAATAAATATATCTTGTGCGAGAAACACAAAAGGTAGGAATTCGGGTCCATTCTCCATATCACCAATAAGTATAATAAATAGAACATAAATAGGTATATGTTCATTATACATTTTTCACTAATAGTAAGTGTAAAGAAATAAAATGATGTAAATAATTAATTCAATATCGTCACATTAACTATAACTATTCATTAGTTCTGCGAGTAACTAGGGTTTTAATTGTTTAATAAATAGCACGTAATGTAAATTTATTTATTCTAAAGCATTATTTGAAAAAGTAGGAGCAATATACTGGGTGTAGCGTAAAGGTTGGGAATAAATTAAACGGTGGATTATTTGGTTTAAAAAATAATTTTTTTCTCATATAAAGTTATGCTCTACGGGTTTTCTTTTCCAAGCTACAGGGCGCTAAAAAGTTTCAAAAAATTTAGTTTTTCTCCAATAAATTTCGAACATTATAAGATAATGGAACGAAATTTCAGCCTTAGCTTAATTTGATAATCCCCTAGTTACAGGAAAAAAAATTGACTTTGTAAGTTACTCAGTGGCGCGCGTACGGATTGTACCATACGGTATTTCGAAGAAAATTGTGGTACGTCACTGGTAAAAACATCTTTTTAATATTTGTTTATGATCTACCTTTTTATTTTAAACAAAATTACCCTCTTGCGTTTTATTTCTAGCTCTTGTAATTTTTCCGTAAATAAAACTTTTGTAAATACCATTTTATTCCACTGCTAACAGAGGAATATAAATATAACAAAAGCATTATGAAGTACGCTTTGACTCAGCCACCGAACATGGTCAAATAGGCATTGAAAAAAGATTTTTGAAATGAAAATGATATTAAAAAACTAAATTTTTTGAAATTTTTTAACACCCTGTAGCTTGGAAAAGAAAACCCGTAGAGCATAATTTTATATNATCTACTTTTTATTTTAAACAAAATTACCCTCTTGCGTTTTATTTCTAGCTCTTGTAATTTTTCCGTAAATAAAACTTTTGTAAATACCATTTTATTCCACTGCTAACAGAGGAATATAAATATAACAAAAGCATTATGAAGTACGCTTTGACTCAGCCACCGAACATGGTCAAATAGGCATTGAAAAAAGATTTTTGAAATGAAAATGATATTAAAAAACTAAATTTTTTGAAATATTTTAACACCCTGTAGCTTGGAAAAGAAAACCCGTATAGCATAATTTTATATGACAAATATTTATTTTTTAAAATAAAAAATCCACTGTTTAATTTATTCCCAACCTTTATGTTACACCCTGTATGTAAAGGATCCTTAGTATTTTGTCTGTTTTTTTTAAATTACAGAAATACTACCCACATCACGATTTATTAATTCAATTACTTCAGTAGCGGTACATGCTGAATAAGATTTGTATAATTATTGTATTAATTTGCTTACATATGTAACCTTCCTTTCCACGTTTCGCTGCATTTGATAAATTAAATATAAAGAGAAAATAAAATTTGTCCTAAGATGCTACTTTGTGGTACACCACTTTTTATTGGCATTAATCGTGATCTGAATAAATGATTTATTTTCATTCCTTTGAAATGGATCGAGCAAATAATTATGAAACCACAAAAAGCACCGTGGTGAATACTTTGCATCTCGTAATACAAAATTTAAATATTAGACGAAAGCAACAACATTTAGAGAAATACTATATCACTTTTTCAAAAGTGGATGTTTTTTTACTTAGCTTTTTATGAAAATATATATTTTCTTTACATTTAACTTTGCGCGAAAAAGATGCGAACATTTTTATGAAGCAAAACTACTTTTGAAGCAACGGGTAACTTGAATAACCACTCGGTCATTATAAAACGCAGGGGAATATTATTTATAATCTCCTGCCTTAGAGAAAGTTGAATCGCATAATAGTTCCTAGACACTGAAAGGATTGTTCCGCCAAAGTTCACATTAGACCGCAGTATGGTGTACCATAACAGTTTCAGTGATTACAAATATACGAAAATACCCAGAGACGCGGAAAGCGACGTAATATTGAACTACACCAGGAAGACCCAGCAAGACAGAGGCTATTTCTCCAGCTTCCTGGTAAGACCGAGTAATTGTTATGATTTCCACGCAAGGTCGGACACTCCTGGCTTGACTAGCATATAAATAAATTCCCATTCAATTGCATTTTATGTAACTCTTTATTTTGCATTAATTGTTCTGTCCTGAATATGAAACATTTATGATTTCTGTATATTATGTTGTGATACAGGTATACTTTTCGTTTTATATGTAATATGTATCTGCTGACACATGATAATAGATTACGTTACGAAGCCGTATTATAGTAACACAAAGCTGTTAAATATAGCGCTAGAACTTTAATAAAATTTATTATAATACGAAAAACGAAATAAAGGAATAATTCTTGAAATTTTATTTGTACTAAATTATTTATTATACAGGGTCGCTGATATTTATGGGAACGGTCGATTATCTCCTAAAGTAAAGTTGCTTCTCCTTTAATGGAACACCTTGTATATTATTCTAACCAAAATTCATATCGCACATCGTGTCCTTAAACATAACTGTTTTCGAGATATCGAACTTCGAAAATCATTTTCTTATAAATTATACAAAAATATCTTAGTACAGTCTTTGAAGC